AGTTGACCAATCAACTGTATGCCCAGTGATGTTAATCGACCAGTCAATTGTATTGCTAAATGGGTGACCCAACCAATCAGGTGAGTTGTCATAATGAGGCCATGAACTCTGCAGCTGTGCTGGATAAGTAAGCACCTTCCCCCCCCACCACCAGCACTAACAAGATGGAATGCTTAGGCTAAACTCCCTACCAGACTTTTTGGCCTTCAAACCACTAGACCTAATGATCTCATTGGCAGTTCTGTAAGCCTCCCATCTTCCTTATATCACTCTCCAAAGCTACAGTCAGCTTGACCTCAGGTTCTCAGAGAGACAAGCTTCCATGATTTGTGCTAGGCCCAAGCCTGAATGAGTGTTTCTGAATTGATGAGAGACAGTAGTCTCCTGACAAAAGGGATTGCTAAAAATCTTCTCTTTGCGGCTAGTTGTATTATGTGACAGGGATAAATTTAACCTTCATAAAGGCTGGGAAATGATATTGAAATAGGCAATTTCTGAAGCTCAATGGAAGACTTTATTTGTTATATGAAGACGATCTGGAATAATATGAAAGAAAAATTATAAAATTAGTACATACTGTTGGTATATTATACCTCAGACTGAAGAAGTGAATTAGGATAACTTCCACAAATGCTAGAAGTGTCATCTGAGGCCTTATATCCTACTTGCATTATGTAGTCGAAATGTCCTGTAATTAAACAATTCCATGGGAAAGTCATTGCAGAAATTAATCATGTGTAAATTTTTAGCTTCCTAAAAATTCTAAGGTTATGCCTTTGGGACTTGTTTTAGTATTTTCAAAAACAGAATTTGAATATGTTTTTAAATAATTTTTTAATTGCTTTTATCACTATATACTACAAAGGATAAGGGAATAGGAAAATCTAACCTAAAATACAAAGCTAGGCAAGGATCATATTACTAAAGTTATACATAGATTGTCTTGAAATTGTCCCCATATTTAAAGTTTAAGGAATGATGGTTAACCATTTTTTTTCAAAATCAAACCAGTGCAAGCATAATTAGCCAAAATACGTACATCCTAGTAATCTGTGTATTAAGCTATTTATCATATTTTCCCCTCTGTGCTTGTTTTTATCATAAGTCAGCCTGACTTTAAGACGTTTAAGTGCTAACTCTCCTTTATCGGATTCAGAGTTTTCTTCTGAAGGACTGCCCGAGGAACTGTCACTGCTTTCTGATCTGTGTTCGCTGTTTTCTTCTATTGCATTGTTGTCCTCTGCTTTTCCTTTTCCTTTCGCAGTTTTTTGGTGCCACTCCAAAAATGCCTTTGCTTTTGTAACAGAGTCAATCTTTTCTTTTTTCTCTTTGTAGTTGAAGATAAGTCCTTCTGGAGTTATCCATCTGTAGGGGGTGAAGTTATTCTGTAAAAAAAAAGATGTCAGATTTTTGTATTGTTTCATCTTTTTTATCTTGAATGGAATGTCTTTTAGAACTCTCGCTTCTTCGCCTTTGATTTTTAGGGTTATCCCATTAGTCGCTTTACGTATTATACCTTTTGTTGATCTCTTGGAGAACTTCACCCAGGAACTCAGCCGCCATTGTTGTTACCACCGCTGCCGTTTTCACCTTCCGTTGCTGCTGCCAACACTCCTGGCACGGTTGCAGCTTACGGCTCACGTCCTTCCGACTCCAGCCATGCTGCACTGTCCTGCGTCTGCTCCGCCTGCGTCCGCTCCACCTCAGGTCTGGTCACCAGGAACTCAGCCGCCATTGTTGTTACCGCCGCTGCCGTTTTCGCCTTCCGTTGCTGCTGCCAACACTCCTGGCACGGTTGCAGCTTACGGCTCACGTCCTTCCGACTCCAGCCATGCTGCACCGTCCTGCGTCCACTCCGCCTGCGTCCGCTCCACCTCTATCAGGTCTGGTCACCAGGAACTCAGCCGCCATTGTTGTTACTGCCGCTGCCGTTTTCGCCTTCCGTTGCTGCTGCCAACACTCCTGGCACGGAGCCAGGAGGTGGGTGCCCCCTGCCACCTAGGGCAGGTACCCATTTATCTACTTGTTTTATTTACCTTTCGAACCGCTGGGTTGGCGGGAGCTGGGACGGGGGCTGGGAGCTCACTCCGGCCGCGGTGGGGATTCGAACAGCCATTGAGGCTGTTCGCTACAGATGTTACAGGCAGGCGTTGTATTGCCTGCGCCACCGCTCCCATATTTCTGTAAGAAAGATGTCAGATTTTTGTATTGTTTCGTCTTTCTTATCTTGAATGGAATGTCTTTTAGAACTCTCGCTTCTTCGCCTTTGATTTTTAGGGTTATCCCATTAGTCGCTTTACGTATTATATCTTTTGTTGATCTCTTGGAGAACTTCACAAATACTTCACCGGGCACTTTATTTTTCTTAATAAATTATGACTAGGTTTGGTATACCATATCCATATCATTTTGTAGAAATTCCGCTTTAAGATCTGCCACTGGAGCCAAAGCTTCGCTTAAAATCTCTTTCAGGTTCTCCCCTTTATGCTCTGGGATACCCTGAAATCTCAGGACATATGATGACTTTTCCATATGTAGTTGTAACAGCTGTTCTTTTTCAGAAGTCCTCTCTTTTCCCATGACCTCCAGTCTTTGATTTATCGCGTCCGTCTTAGCATCAACTTTTTTCAGTGTTTTAGCTATTTCTTCTTTTCTTATGCTGGTTTCTTTCAATTGCTTTTAGAGAGCATCAAAGTTATTATTGAGATTGGTCATCTGGTCCAGCAGAGGGTGCAGTGCTGCAGCTAACATATTACGGAAGTCAGTGGTTGCTTCTGGTCTGGAGGCCGGAATTGCTGAGCTGGCAGTTCCTGTAGAAGGTCTCTCTCTAGCCACCATTTTATCAGCCCGATGCAACATTGTTTACACAGAGAGAAAAATTCTTTTAAGTCTCTGAGAGTCTGTTAAATTGTATGCTTCTTACTATTCCATACACTGCTCGGCTGGATTAACACTTTCCAATCAAAGCCGTCACTTTGCCCCTCATATTCGCTCTCTCAGTAACTTTTTTCCCAGGGTGGGATTAACTCCTCCCCCCTCCGCTACATTAATTTGGGGCTTTGGGGCGGTTATCTGCTTAGGCGCTTGGCTAGTTCAAAGAGATGCACACTCAGGCTTCATTCCACATGTTGCTTCAAAAGGTAGGGAGAGCCTCTAAGTGCTGGATCACTTGCTCACTCGCTCCGGCATGCACCTTTGTATCCATTACTGGTCTCGCGGCAGCAGGACAAAGAGGAGCCTCAATTCTTTGGCCGGGACCTCTCCTGTTCACCGCGATCACGGGCCGCTCTCATTGGAGCTCGATGGTGCGCACTCGCCAGCAAGTTGCCAAAACCGGAAGTCCAGAATTTGAATAAATTTTTGGATGTTCATGTTAATTGGAAATTAGGAAACGAATAATATAAAAACTTGGGTTAATAATATTTGAAAGTTGCTGAATTATTAATGATTGAAAGATAGCAGACAACAAAAGCCTTGTTTCTTAAAGTTAAACTTTTCAGTTTATGTATAAATTAAATTTTAAATCTGAGAGATATTTATAATATAATTACAAATGAAATATTCTGTGTGATGCATGTCACCTAACAAGAATAGCAGTGCTCAAAGTTGTGTATTATGTTGGATTCAGAAAATGAGCTGCCTTTTTAAAGAATATCACTCCATTCATTCACTCATTAAATAACTATTTAATCTTCTCAGTTTTTATCTTTGAAGTTTAGAGTGCCCTGGGTGATACATAGATAGCATCCACAATGGTGGGGGAGTAGAGAGAGAAGCTGCAGGTAAAGAAAACATACTTTTTCCAAGATGAGCTGGGGGTGGCGAGTTAGAGGTGTAAACAAATTTCAGCAAAAACACCATTCAGTGCCTGGCTAAAGTACAGTAAAATTTCAATTTTGAAACTGACTTAGGCTGCCCTACTTCCTACCATATGACGAAATCAGCTCATGCATGCCACTGATGCATAGGCTTTCTGAACAATAAAACTAACTAAAATTTTGCCAAGAGATAGTAATAGTAAAGCTTCCTCACATACCTTTGATCTGACTAGTACACCGTGCTGCCTTCAGGAGATCTTTACAAGTGACATGTTACTTCCCCAGATGTTTCCAAAATGGGTTGTACTGCTGTCTTTCAAATATATCCAAATTAATGGCACAGACTAAATTGCTTTGAATAATACCAAAATTATTGCTATTGAATAATACCAAATTGAATCGAATTGCTACTGAATAATACCAGAAACATTAAAAACATGGTCTACTGCAATGACCCGTGGGGTTATCCTCCCCCAACCGCCTTTCCAGAGGCCCAGGTCCTATTATAAGTCACAACAACCATTCTGTATAGGTAGGTAGGGGTTACCAACATTACCTGCATTGACCAAAGTATAGGCCTCCAAGCACTCCATACACTCAGCCTGTGCAGCAATGGAGAAGGGAGTCGTCATTCTCAAAGGATGGAGGCTGTCTTTTTGACAACCATATACCATCCTCTGTTCATCCACAGAGACTTCAAGAAGTTCTTCCCTGGGAGGAGGATATAGCTACAGACTGTTGGGCCTCATCCATAATTTCAAAAACTTACGCCCTTGATTCCATTTGTGTGGAATAAGAAATTTATCTTGTACGCCCAGTTACCTCTCACAGATTTTAGGCAAATATGTAGGGGGACATAACCATGGATATTGGTTGCTTATTTAAATAGAGTGGAATGTGTAGAAATTGTATCCTGTTTTGCCAGGGATTATTTTTTTGAAAAATTTGATTAGCATTCTATACTCATTTCAAGGTTTACAAAGATTATTCCAAGAAAACAGGAAATTTGACTTTCTAGAGAAAAATGTGTGCAATAGAAAAAAATGTATAATATAGTTTTCTATGGCCTGATAAATTAGACTTATTTAATTGTATAGAACTTTATTAAAAAATCATGTTAAATGTTCTGCACTCTTCCCCCTCCCCACAAGTAATCTTTTTCTTTCTTTCTTTCTTTAAAAGAATTGGCTTGATCCTTTAAAAGAAATCAAGAGGCAAATTCGAAGTAAGTAGTTCTGTGTCTGAGTGTATCTTAAATCAGTCCTCAAATGGAAAGTTGAATGTGGAACAAAATTGATCTTCTGCTCCACCCATAAGGCTAGTTACTGATTTAGAAACTGTACTGATCACATTTATCTGTAGTGGACAGAAGTACTGATGGCATAATAGATATCTATTGGATTTGATCCAGTGATCTGTTAAGTAGAAAACATTAACAGAATGTTTGGGGCATTCCCCTCCCCCCATCAGCTCCATCTCACCCCCAAAAAAGGTTGATTCCTGTGGATGTGAGTGAACTAACAGCCATGTGAGTTGGTGGGAGCCTCAGTGAGGAGGGGCAAAGGAACAAAATCATCTCCCTCGAATGACACTTTGCTTGTAGGCGAGGAAAGTGATTTTGACCCCTTCCCCTTCACTGCAGCCCACATGACTGCTAGTCCATGTGGGTCATGCAACCCCAGGAATTATCTGTTCAGAAGGAATCAGCTGTTCAGACATTGAAAGGAATCGCTGAGTGGAAGAATGTGGCTAATATCTGGGGAGCAGCGGAAGGGATGCAGATCTCAGCCCATTGTCAATATCTGGAAAGGGTTTTACTTGTAAACAATTTAAGCCAAGATGGGCAGACTTGTATAATGGGTCACCTCAGAATATATTGTGAAATTAAAGAAATGTCTTAGTAACTTTTGATCAACATAATTTGCATCTTGTTTTTGTGTACATACACACACACACAAAGCATTGCACTTTTGAAATTGTGAGGTTACAGAAGAATGATTACGAGATACCTGGTCTGATAGCTTTTGAAAATATCTTTCTGGAAATAGGAGTTAAATTAGACTTTTTATTCTTTTAAGAAGTTCAATTGAAACAATTTCTTTATTCCTTTTATTGCAGTATTTCCTAAACAGTCCCTCTTTACCCATTTTGCCCATGAAAAAGCAAGAAATTGTAACTGCCTTTCACATCTTCTCTGAGTTCTAGTCATAGTCCTAAAAGCTACTAGAATACAATTAGATTTCACAAAATGTATGTTGTGTGGTGGAGGCATGGCTCAATGGGACAGCATGTGCTTCGTATGGAGAAGGTCCCAGGATCACTCTCTGGATAAAAAAGTCAGGCAGCAGGCAAAGTGAAAGACCTGTACCTGGAACTCTGGAGAGATGCAGTCAGAGTAGACAACACTGACCTTGACCCGGCAGCAGGCAATGTGAAAGACCTGTACCTGGAACTTTGGAGAGATGCAGTCAGAGTAGGCAACACTGACCTTGACAGACATATGGTCTGATCCAGTATAGGGCAGCTTCATAGTGTACAACAAATAATTAACACTTGGGTAATTCATGTTTTACAATGTCATTGGATTTTCTGATGGTACAGAGAGAGCAGAGAGTTGCAATAAAACATATGTTTAATAAGTAAATGATTCCCCAAACTTTCAGTAAAAATACTTCTGAGCTGCTCCATCTCACAGGATACTCAGGGTGTTTATACAGTGGGATGAATGCTTAATCTACTCTATCATCTGGTATACTTTTAATTAAAATTGTATGTTAATTTTTGTAGCCTGTACAAATGTGACAAGAAAATGCCTCCAAAGTCCTTGGCTTTAACATCAATAGTTTGACCATAGCCCTACATTCACTCATGAAGCATTTGCTGACATTTAAAGCATAGTTTCAAGAGCCTGATGTTGGGGGGGGGGGAGAATTATTTTTATCTTTCCATTCTGTTTTTACAATCTCGATATACACTTATAAAGCATCTTGATTTGCTGAAATAAATTCTGTAAACGATTGTAGTGTATGATTTTTATAAGTAAGTGATTGTTTCTATGTTGGGAAATAATTACATTTATTTTTGAATCAACTGGTATTTTGACATTACCATCTATTATTCAGGCATCCTTAATGTACTCTATGTAAGAGTTTTATGTACAATGATAGCCAGATCATTTCTTGGAACTATTGTCTAGATATTTAATCAGAAGTGCAGTGCTGAAGAACTTGGCATTAGGCACTAAACAATGACTCATTTGGAAGAGAATCTATAATTTTCAAACGTCATTCAGCATATGCATACAACTAAAAATGTAGTTAAAGTTTGCTTTGCAGCCCACAACGCCAAATTGCCGATCACAAGCAGATCTATAAAGTTATTTTCATTGTCCCTGAAAGAAATTTAGAGGAGATGTTCCCCTGGTTGATATAAAGAATTGCAGGAAAAATATTTTTTTCAATCTTTGTGCAAATTATGCAAATTTCCACAAATTATTACTTGTAAGCATGAATCGGAAAGAAAGTGGGCCATGAAATGCTGTGCTTTGTCCTATGAAAATATTAGTTGGATACCCTTTTGGCTTCTGAATCAAAACAGGTTCAGAATTTTGTTTTAGGTTTCAGCTCTGTAACCGTGGGTCTTTTCTTAGGTTTTTAAGATAGATCTATCTTGTCTGTCCATGATTCTGATCTCTGGATTTAAGTATCTATAGACAGGGCCATGTTGAGAATTAGATATATTGATAAACATGCTAGAAGTGTGGACTCTACAAAGCCTTGGTTCTAATGCTTGCTTAGATACGTTTATAGTCCACCCTTCTCCCTGAGATTCAAAATAGATTACATAGTGTAAATTGATGCAGTCACATGATGAGACAGCATCATATGATGAGAAAGTAATGGACTAGGATTACAGAAATCTGTACAACCATAAAATATTAGATAAGATACAAAGTGCAGATATAATACAGAAAAATAATATTACATCAGTTAAAAGTAATGTAGTGATAACAGGATAATTCTTAGCCATTGAGCTAGCTGGGAGACCCTGGGCCAGCCTCTCTCAGCCTAAACCATTTATAGTGTGGTCGTGAGGATAAAATAGAGGAAGTGAGACCCATCTATACCACCCTGAGTTCCTTGAAGGAAAGAAGGGGTATAAATGCAACCATTATTTTTTTAATTGCTTTTTAATAGTACATGTACCATAACATTTAGGTAATGACTGCATTTATGCAGAGCTAAAATGCGTATAGTATCTAATTGTGTTGGATCCCACAATCTGTCATCTGAAAGCACTGGCAGCTGTGGATCTTCCTGGTTCTCTCCCAGCATCCATTTTTATTCCCAGGAAACTTTATTGCTGGGTTCACGGGATCCACATGGAGTAGAAGCCATAGGTTATGAGGCTGCCATGGGGATGAGGAAGGGGGCAAAATCATTCTTGTGCCTCTTGTGTGGGCAGAATTCCTCTAACAGAAGAGGCAAAAAGGAATGATTTTGTTCCTTCCCCCTCCCTATAGCAGCTTCCTGACCTATGTGGCTATTACTCCACATAGTTCCTATGACACCCCCTCCCAATTCCCCCCCCCCCATCTATACCACCCTGAGTTCCTTGAAGGAAAGATGGGATATAAATGCAACCATTATTTTTTAATTGCTTCATTAGTACATGTACCATAACATTTAGGTAATGACTGCATTTATGCAGAGCTAAAATGCGTATAGTATCTAATTGTGTTGGATCCCACAATCTGTCATCTGAAAGCACTGGAAGCTGTGGATCTTCCTGGTTCTCTCCCAGCATCCATTTTTATTCCCAGGAAACTTTATTGCTGGGTTCACGGGATCCACATGGAGTAGAAGCCATAGGTTATGAGGCTGCCATGGGGATGAGGAAGGGGACAAAATCATTCTTGTGCCTCTTGTGTGGGCAGAATTCCTCTAACAGAAGAGGCAAAAAGGAATGATTTTGTTCCTTCCCCCTCCCTATAGCAGCTTCCTGACCTATGTGGCTATTACTCCACATAGTTCCTATGACACCCCCCCCCAATTTCCCCCCCCCCGAGGTTAGAAATGGATGCTAGAGGGAGGGGAGAGCCTTTCCGAGTTCTTGTGCTGATTCTAACCCATTGTATGGTACTTTACATACAACTTTCATTAGGTATGCTTTTCTCATTTAACTTTCCAATTGCAGATTTACCCTGGCTATTCACGTTTAATGTGAAATTTTATCCACCTGATCCGTCACTTTTAACAGAAGACATTACCCGGTATGTTATCAATTATATCTACTTTATTTTGAAATATATATTTTGTTATCATAATGGAAGAATCTCTGAAGTTTTACATCATGTGAAAAGGATATAATGGCCAAGAGGCACAGATTTTCACAAACTAGTCCATAGTCATGCATGTTTTAACAGTAACATCTCTCAGGTCTGGATTCCAAAGTATCTTTCTTGGGCTGAAATCCACAATAGCTTGACAGTTCAAATAGTAAGTAAAACGGAATTTAGATGAATTTAATGGATCGTTGTTGATCATTGAGGAAAGGCTTTAGAGGAAAATGAAAAAAAAAAAGGATCCCCTGAAAAATGATGTTTCAAACAACATAGGGCATGGAAAGAGGAGGAATACGTCCCCTATTTTTTAAAAAAATGCTTGCAACAAATGACATAATTTGATGTGAGCTCAGTTACCACATGTTGGAATCATTTTCCTGATAAGATGGGTATCTGTATTTCTATACATGTCTGGAATGGAGATACTTGAGCTAGAACTGCTATATTGTCTACTACTAGTTCGAGGAAATACCCCTTTTGACTTCAAGCCCAGAGGCTTTTATTCTTGTGTCTGAACTACCTAGTTGATATTATTTTAAACAATTGAGTGAATTAAAAGAGTAGTGCTGGCGGACAATTTTCCTTTCATATGTTCCAGTTTGCTAGTATTTGGAATTGATTAGATTCAACAGCTACATTGATTTGTTTTTCATAAGTGATGTGAGGATCTTCATCGTTGTCTTTATGCATCACCCCGATGGGTTAGACGTCTGGCTCCGATCCAGGAAACTTCTAGCAAGCTCAGAATGGGTCTGAAGCCCCTCCTCCCGGCATGCACAGGAACTCCAACCATGCATGCCCAGAGGGCGGGGCTCTATTATCCCACCAGTTCTCTTCTGACCACTGCACTGATTAGTGAATCTGCTTCGGTCTGGGAACTTCTTTTGTGAGGGAAATTCTCTTCTTCACAATCTTCTCTCTCCCATAGTTTTTTCTCTACTTTCCCCCCCTTTTTTGTTTTTTCATTATTTGACCTAAAAAAAATTCTCTTAGCTCCCCCCCCCCCTCCGATGCTGTCGGATTCCACACACACACACACCGTTTTTCTTTCAGATCTGCCTTTTCATCTATGGCAAATTGCTGGGGTCCAAGCTCGCTCCGCCAGATGGTAATTCCCTGTGTCTACTCTGTCTGGGAGAGGCACATAGGACTGACACCTGCATCCACTGCATGAAATTATCGAACCAGACATGTAAAAACAGAGTGACAGTATTCCAAGCAGCTCTCCTGGAGTCAGATCTCCGACCTAAGCCAATGGCTTCCACTCAGCCCGAGGTGACTCCAAGATTGACTCCGACCGATCGCCCCCACTCAGCACCAGTGGATCGACCCTGATCAACGCCCTGATTGTCGAACGTCTTGCCATCCAAAGCCTCCATTAGCAGGTCTTCAGCATTGAGGCCTCCGGGCCCGGCTGCTGCATTGGCTGCATCAACACCATCCTCGAAGAAAAAGAGGGTTGGCAAGGGCCACACTAAGGTTAAACACAAACACCTTTAAAGCTGACCCAAAACCTACCATGGTGAGTGCTGCAATGGGCTCTGACGCACCAACAGCTACTCCCCTCACCCCCTCTGCCTCACCAGACCCAACCAGTGTTCCAGCGATACCACCAGTTATGTTACTGAACTCGCCCATTCAACAGCTGGGTTCAACAGCTTCAACAGGACCTTCATCCACTTCCCCCATGCATCAGACCTTCTCTTAATGTTGGAGGGATGGGTCCTCTACCACAACATGCCACACCTCAAGTTAACAGCCTGGAGAATACTCAGCAAGTTTTCTCTGACAGGGTAGAGACTGTCCTTCTAAATAGCAGGAAATTGCCTACTCATTATTCATACACTTATAAATGGTAAAAGTTCCTCACCTTCCTCAGACCATAGGAAGGGAACCCAACCAATGTTGGCCTGCCTCCCATCTTTGACTTCCTCCTTTTGTCTTGCGGACTCGGGTCTCAGCCATTCTTCACTTAGAGTCTGCCTGGCAACTATCTCCATTTTCCATCAGTGACTGGACAATACTTCAGTCTTTGCTCACCCTTATTATAAAAGGTTTTTGAAGGGTCTGCTACACCTTTACCCATTAGTTAAACTGCCAGCGCAAGCCTGTGGTTTTCCCACCGTGCTGTGCAGGCTTACCTGTAAACCCTTCGAACCCATGGCTACCTGTGAGATGAGGGTTTTATCCTGAAAAATGGCTTTCCTAGTGGCAGTTACGTCTGCTGGCAGTGAGCGACCTCCTAGCCTTCCGCCATGATGCTTCATACTTAAACTTCCTGCCAGATGGTATAGCCTTGACATTTCTTTCCTGCTAAAGGTGGTCTCGGAATTCCACCTGTGTAGAAAAGTTGTCCTACCTGACTTCTATCTGAATCCTAAGACAGAGATAGAGTGTCTCTGGCACACCCTAGATGTTAAGTAGGATAGGACCCATAGGTTTCACAAAGATCTCCATCTCTTTGTGTCCTACGCTGCTCATACCTTGGGACATAAAATCTTAATGCAGAGATTATCTAAATGGATTGTAGAGGCTATAGAATTTTGCTGTCTTCTGGACAAGAGGCCTTTGCTTGTTCAGCTTAGAGCTCACTCTGCCCACATGATGTCAACCTCCACAGCTTTTCTTAAGAGGGATATATGTCAATTGGCCTTGTGGGCTATTCTGAACACATTCATTAGACATTATGCGGTGGATGTTCAGGCTCAACGTCGTGCCAGTATGGGATGTGTGATTCTCCAATTTGTGGTCTCCTGAGATGCTGCCAGCCCCCCTCCTCCAGGTAGGCCTACGCTAGTTAATCTCCCATCGGTGTGATGCATAGAGACCACGATGAAGATAAAAAGGCTTCTTTCCTGTAACTGATGATCTTTGAGTGGCCATCTATGCATTCACACCACCCACCCTCCTTCCCCACTGCTGTCAGCCTTCATCTATTGGTTTTCATGAGGGTTGGCAGTGGTCAGAAAGAACTGGTGGGATACTGGAGCCCCGCCCTCTGGGCATGCATGGTTGGAGTTCCTATGCATGCTGGGAGGATGGGCTTCAGACTCATTCTGAGCTTGCTAGAAGTTTCCCGGATCGGAGCTGGTGCAGGTGCCTAACCCATTGGTGTGAATGCATAGATGACCACTCAAAGATAATCAGTTACAGGCAGGGCTATTTTTGGGCAGGAACGCACAGGATCGGAGTTCCGGCTGGCTCCTGAGTTGGCCATGCCCAGCAGGAACTCATTAGCATAATAGGCCACACCCAACAGCAAAAACCCATGAGGATTGGCTACATTAGGGGTGTGTGACCTAACATGCAAAGGAGTTCCTGCTACAAAAAAAGGCCTGGGTTTTGACAACAAACAAGGTAAACAGAATAAGAAGCAAAAGGTGGGTGTGGCTGGATGAGCACACTTCTGGTAACACAGGGGTGTGACCTCATATGCTAATGACCTGTGCTGTCAGGGGTGTGGCCTAATAAGATAATAAATTTCTGCTGTTGGGTGTGGCCAATTATGCTAATGAGTTCCTGCTGGGCTTTTTCTACAAAAAAAGCCCTGGTTACAGGTAAGCAACTTGTTTATTTTGAAAGAACATTGCCAAATGCAAGACAGAGGGTATAGTTTTGATTCCATACCAGCTGTACATCTATTTCCAAGCCATAAAGTACTGGGAACAGGGTACCTTGCACCTACTTTCTTTTAAGTACCAGACAAAAACATCTCTCTTTACCCAGGCTTTTAGCTAATGAAAAGTAAATAGTGGGGTCCCACAAGAATTGGTATTGGGGCCAGTACTGCTTAATTTGTTCGTAAATGATCTGAAACTAGGGGTGAATAATGAAGTGGCCAGGTTTGCAGATGACACAAAATTATTCAGCATGGTGAAAACTAAGGATGACTGTGAAGAGCTCCAGGAGGATCTCCACAAATGTAGCAAATGAAATTCCCTGCTGTTAACTGTAATGTGATGCATACTGAGACAAAAAGGCCCAACTTCAAGTATAGGCTGATGTGGTCTGAGCTTGCTGAGACTGAGAGGGGAAAAGATCTTGGGGTCATATGAAATAGCTCAATGATGGTGTCAACCCAGTGTACTGCAGCAGTGAAGAATTAGGAAAAGGACTGAGAATAAAATGGTCAATATTATAATGCCTCTGTGGCCTCACTTGGAATACTGCGTACCGTTCTGGTCACCGTATCTCAAACAGGACATCACAGAGCTGGAAAAAGTACAGAGGATGGCAACCAAGATGATTAGGAGGTTGGAGCACCTTCCCTATGAGGAAAGGCTCAGACTTTTTAGTTTAGAAAAGAGATGACTAAGGTGGGACATGATAGAGGTTTATAAAATTATGCATGGGGTGGAGAGAGTTGACAAACAGAACTTTTCCCCCCTCTGCCATCCAAAGAAACTGATAGGCAGTAGATTCAGGACAGACAAAATGAAATACTACTTTACACAGAGAGTGATTAAAATGTGGTATTCACTGCCAGAGGATGTAGTGATGGCCACAAATATAGACAACCTTAAAAGGGGATTAGATAGTTTCATAAAGGATAGGTTTATCAGTGGCTACTAGCCATGGTGACTGAGGGGAAACTTCACGTTCAGAGGGAGTCAGCCTCTGAATCCAAGAGCTAGGAGGCATCATCAGGGAACGCCTCAGCCTCTGTTGTTGGTCCTCCTGAGGAACTGGTTGAGGCAGGATGCTGGACTAGATGGACCACTAGTCTGATCCAGCAGGGCTGCTCTTACGTTCTTATGGAGGTTGTTTCAGGTACTTTATGGTCTACTCTTCACCTGGGGCGTATTCTATGAATATCATTTTAGACTGCTGTATTTGTTTTATGCCTTGTCCCTTTAATTGGCTTGTATGCTTTGTTGATCTGTTTTTCTTTATTCTACTGCTGGCTGTTCTGTTGAGTGGTTTTATTTTGTTTTACGGAATTATTTTGTTGTGTTTGGTTTTGTTGTTGTGAATCACTTGTAGTACATCTGGAGAGGTGACATACAAATTTTCTAAATAAATAACCTGTTCTATTTTACTATTTCACAAGTTTATTATTTATTTAATCAGCCTCTCAAAATATGAAAGTTCTATTTCCAAATGGCTGAAAGCCATACTTTAAAACAATTTAAACTTAGCTTACTATATCCCGAGTTTTGAATATTATGTAAAGTAATACAGAATATGAAAATAACTTATATCCATGTGCCTTTTTACTTTTGTCCTGGAAGTAACCATGTTAGTGCTAGAATACTTCATAAAATGTATATTAACATTTAATCCGGGAATAGGTTGCATTATTTGTTCCTGTTCCAAGATATTTTTACTTTTTAAAAAACATGCCTTCAGTAATCTATTAAAAATTTGGCTTTCCTGACGTGTCAAAAACACAGTATGTTTCATAAATCCCCCTTTTTCTTTTAGGTACTTTTTGTGCTTACAGCTTCGTCAGGATATTACTTCTGGCCGTCTACCATGTTCTTTTGTGACTCATGCTCTCCTTGGTTCATATACTCTGCAAGCTGAACTAGGTGACTATGATACAGAGGAGCACAATAGTGATTACATTGGGGAATTCCAGTTTGCACCCAACCAGACAAAAGAGATGGAGGAGAAAGTAATAGAGTTGCACAAATCACACAGGTATGTCACTTCTTGAGGTCTGAGTTATGTTCCCATTGTTAGCAGCATCTAGTAGTGGACAGTGGGTATGAAGAGCTAGAATGCCTTTTTATTTTTTTACACCCTTGATTTTTAAAAAAAACCTTGGGAAAGCTGTAGCTGAAAAAGTTTGTTCTTTGTTAAAGACTCCATAGACCTTTATTTTAAAAGTCAGCCAAAGGTGGGTCCATTTCTTTAGCCCATAAAAATAGCAATAAACACTCTGGAGGAAGAGGTTTAAATAGAACTTAAACATACATGACAAGCAAGTGATTATTTGCTGTCAAGATGAACTTTTGTAACTGGTTGCAAAGCATCTGTCAGTGCAGTTCTAAGTGGAGTTTAGCTCTCCTTAAGTCCATTGAAGTCAATGGGCTGTAACTCTGCTTAGGAGTGCACTGTAAGGCATCTTCTTGGGGTGTTTTTTTATTTTACTTTAAATTGGAGGTACCAGCCAGTGGGTTTTTATACACTGTGATAAAACATTATTGACCAGTACATTCTTGTCAAAATCAGAAACTTTTTACAAGGGCAGAGTTTTGAGTTTACTGAAATTTGGTGTGTAAGCTTTATGTATGTATCGCAGACTTACTGCTGTCTAACAAAGTTTGAGTCCAGTGGCACCTTTAAGACCAACAAAGTTTTATTCAAACTATAAGCTTTCGTGTGCAAGCACACTTCCTCAGACACAATGAAACTGAATCTGTCTGACGAAGTGTGCTTGCACAGGAAAGCTTATACTTTGAATAAAACTTTGTTGGTCTTAAAGGTGTCACTGGACTCAAACTTTGTTCTGCTGCTTCAGACCAACACGGCTACCCACCTGAATCTTACTGCTGTCTAAGTTTTCATCTGTAAGTTGGCCCTTTTGTTCTATAACAAGATGTGCATCTTACTCATGTTTTCACATCAAGAGCTTTTTGGATAAGTTGAATAAGGCAATTTCTAGCAAAGCATTATGTCAGAGAACATACTATGGTAATGCCTACTATATATTCTCTGGAATTGAGAGGACAGATACTAGGTGAGGATTTCCATAAAACTAGATGGTTGTCATCTGTCTGAATGTTTGCCCAACCACATGAAGTAATACTGGAGCTTTCGAGTTTCTTGTTCTGTTACTTTTTTTCTTAAAATATTTCTGTACCTGCATATTTTGGGATATGACTCTAATTATAATAAAAACATATATTAAATTAATAATTATCACCTCACAGCACAAGTCTTATGAGATATCAAGGCAACACTAAAGCAGCTAGCTCTCTCCAAGCGAGGTGTGACCATGAGAAAGGCCCTTTTTCTTATGGCACCCACCTGACATTCAGAAATGGCAACATACACAGCAAGGTCTACAGTGCAGATCTGAACATTTAAGCAGCTTTGTATTGGAAGAATGGGTAATTATTTTCTCTGGTTCCAGTCTAGTCCCAGACATTTATTTGCCTTACTGTACAGATCTGTCAGATGTAAAGGACTTGGATCTTTGATCTGTTTCTATTTTTGTTACTAAATGCTTATGGCTGTGTTGGAGTAATATTAAGATTTGTATCTAACTATATCCTGCAAATCTATTTCTAAGCATAAATTCAGCCAGTCAAGAGCTTTCCCACAGGATTAGTAGCTCTTAGTCATGATTGGACAATGAAGTAATAGACACTTGGCCATTACTGCTGTACCTTTCAGAGATACCTGATTTCCTGCTTTGATTCAGCTAGGCAATTTCTTATGATGGTATAGATACTGATTTTCCCTTTTGACTTATTTCTTCTTTCAATACTTGCAGAGGTTTGACACCAGCGCAGGCAGATTCCCAATTCTTAGAAAATGCGAAAAGGCTTTCTATGTATGGAGTGGATTTACATCATGCCAAGGTATTGGCCTTTGCGTCTATAAAAGATATACGCTAGGCACAAGTACTCCAAAATTCCTCTTGTACTATTCTTAGGATAATGTTTATGAGACAAAGAAACCACGAATGGGTTGGAAAAGTGGCACAAGTATGTACGGCACTTGAAGCTGCTCCAGTGATCTCATATAGCAAATAAACTCTTCAAAACTTGTGTTTTTAATGCTTTTCAGCTAGTGCATTCCATAGAAATATTGGGATTCTAGGAAAGATGTGAGATATATGAATGTATATTAATATGTTGCATAAATTCTTTATGGGCTTGCATTACACTCACATATTATCTGTAACTGTCTAAGCCATTTAACTGAACAGAGTTTGAGTTCAGAGGCACCTTTAGGACCAACAAAGTTTTATTCTCAGTAGTGTGGATGCACACTTCTTCAGATACCATGAAAGCTTCAGATAAATGAAAGTTTATACCCAGAATAAAACTTTGTTGGTCTTAAAGGTGCCCCTGGACTCAAACTTTGTTCTCCTGCTTCAGACCAACACAGCTACCCAACTGAATTTAACTGAACAGTTGTCTTTAATCAGGTCAAAATGAAATTCTAGGGAACTGGTAGCAGTTAGATGCAGTGCCTGTGCTAGTGTTGTCAGTCAAGTTGATGTCAACCACTTTTCTTTATAGTAGATGTAATTCATAAAGAGGAACAGGTTGATGCTATTATTTATAGAGAGTCTAATATTGCACTAGTCACGGTATGCGTGTAAATATAATCATGAATAATCAAGGCCCGTTTACTGAACATCTTCCTTTTGTTAATATAACCTTGTGATGAAAACAAATGAATAACCTTTGGTTAGATCCTAATGACTGCCTACAGAAGAAATATGGATATTTATTGTGTTCCTGCCCACTCTTGCCATCCCTGTTAGCACCCAGAAAGTAAGTTCCCAGGGTTGTAGGAACTATACAGATTAACAGCCAGAGATATGGTGATTGAAGAGGGAGGAGAGGGTAGTTTTGCCCCCTTTCCCCTTCCCACTGCAGCCCTTCAATTCCATGTGGCTATTGATCCACATGGTTTCCATGACCGCAAAAGCTTACTTTGCAGGGATAGGAGAAGACTGGTGAAGGTAGGAAAAAACAGCAAAGATCTTTGTGTCTGCTGGCATTAGGATCCAATCAAGTGGTAGTGTCCCTCTGTTTCTAACAAATTGTCATACCATTTTCTTTCTCACTTTCCTTTCTAATTTTTTCCTGCATTTTGTCCTTGCTCAGACTTTTTTTTTAATCTTCAAACCTGATCTTTATTCCTGTTTAGATGTAAACGTTCTCTAACATGGCTTTCCCATAATGTGCTAAGTCTGAATATTTCTCTTCTGTTCAATGTTCCCTCTAAGCTGAGTTAGTGTGAGCTAGCTCACACTAACTCAGCTTAGAGGGAACACTGCTTCTGTTCCCACAGTTAATCACCATTGATCACAAAATTGTCTCTTTGTTGGGTTTTTCTGTCACTGCTCTTTCTAGTTTTCAGTCTGTTTTCTCTCCATGTCACCTCTTTAAAAGATTATTGTGGTTGCTTTTTTTTTTAGTGATTCAGTGTTTCTCAAAACCAACTATCCATGTTTTCCATTTATATTCTTCTCCTTGCTTCTTATAGGTTTTTTGTCTCTTATGAATTTAATACTGTGCATTCTTCTCCTGACAATATGTCTGCTGCTTTTTCTACTAGTTCCAGTTGGCAGCTTTACTCTCCCTTTTCCATTAAATCTCTCACTCTCATCCTTGATAAGCACACACTTCAGCATATTTGATCATTCTTTTGTCTGTAATTTTTTATTGAGTGTATCATAAAACCTTGTTTAACCTCTTGGTAATTTCAAAATTTATCATCACCTTGCATGGACTAAATTTAATTTGTGGTTCCATTTCATACGTTTGTTATTTCAGTATCCTCTTGGTTGGTATTTCTGCTTCTACTCTTGAAGCACTCCCTTTTATTTTGTTGCTCTGCTAATTTTCCCTGAGTGGGAAGGTGAGCATATAAATATTTTAAATTAATAAGAATAAAATGTTTCTGAACTTCTGGGACAAACTACTCTTACAATTTCATTATAGGATTCTGAAGGTGTGGACATCATGCTTGGCGTGTGTGCCAATGGGCTGCTTATTTACAAGGACAGACTTCGAATAAACCGTTTTGCCTGGCCCAAAATTTTGAAGATCTCTTATAAGCGCAGCAATTTCTATATTAAAGTTAGGCCGACTGAGGTAAGCATTTGGCTGCCTGAACTCACAGCTTAGGAGTTATATGAAAATATGGCCATCTTCCAATTGCTGGTGGGTTTGTTTGCACATACTACCTCAACTCAAGTGGTTTAAATTGTTAAGTTTTCAGTTTACCAGCAGTGTACCACACATGGTAAATAGACAAAATAAGCAGCATTGGCTTGCATACTTGCTATGTAAAGTCATAGAAAGCCCTGTTCTTAAAACAGCTGATCTGTAGCTTCTGGTTTATGTGACTGGAGTCACAGTTACTGCTGGGAAGGTCTAGGTTTTTTTTAACACTCAGGACAGCTTAAGATAATGTTTGGTAACTTGCCTCAAATCAAAGTTACGTAATAGTTTTTTTTTCTATGCTGCAAATTTCAGTTTCTGAAAATGAAAAACACTTTGCTCTCACACTGCTTCAGATTTTAAAAGAAAATGCTGGAATGAAATGAAAAGGCAAGCAAATATTATATTTAAACTCCACTCAAAATATGTGGATATTAGCTTAGTTAAGATTTAATGGCTGTCAAGGAGTTTGAAGGATTTTCAGCTGTGTTCCCATAATTGCCTTTTCCTTTATATGTGTCATAAATTAATTTTTTAATTTCCAAGTTAAGAAATGGTGGCTTGTTTTTATTTTGGAACTGTAGTTTACAGGGCAAGCGCAAACCATAGTTTCTGAGTTCAGATGTGGTGGAAAAACCTGGCAGTAACTATTTCTCTTGGAGAGAATAGAGCAGTGATTACAGAAGCATGTCTGAAGTTCTTTCAGTGCTCATTCACATAGCAGCGGTGGTTGCCATAACATCTCAACCAGACTTCAGAGGAAATTGCAGCCATACTAACTGATTAGTCTTAAATTTATCCATTCCCATGATCTTCCGAAATATAGGGAGGATAGAAATTTAAATAGTACCATGTTAAAGATGTCTAATAGGACATCTTGTATTATGTGAAGGTCAGTATTAGAGCATCTGTTCAACTTCAGTCGTCTGTGCAGTCCCCCATTGGGGAGGGCCTGCCATGGAGAGATTAATTTCAAATCTAAAAAAGTTATCTAGAGGGTGCCCCTCCCCCACAAGCCATTGTGAGCTGTCCTTCCCACTGAAACGGTCATATGGTCGATGGGAGGGAGCGCTTCCTCCCTAGTTCCTTTTTTCGCTGTCGTTGGAGAAGGTTCTTCTTTTCAGCTCTCCAGGTCTGAAAAAGCTTCTTTTGTTCTGGTGCTGATTCCCTACAGAAGAAAGGTATTAGTTTACTGGAGTTTCAGGTAAGAAGAAAATAACAGCTGAACTGAGCAAAGGGGAAGCTGCACACTCCTTTGCCTCATGCGGATTGTTCAGGGCCAAAGGGCTGCCTCAGCACACTGCCTTGCTTTCTCCAAAGATTCCTCCCCTCCCTCAGGGCAGAATGGCTCAGAAAGCCCTGTTTTAAAAATGTACCAGATGCAGTACTAAAATGCCTTATTCTGACAAACATGGTCTGTGTCTTTTGTGTCTCGGTGAAGAGCACAATGTGGGAAACTGCCAGGTGTGCCAACAATTCACCCCTAAAGCCCAGAGGGCTTTCCGTTTAAGGGCTGTCCTGTGGGAAAAAGCATTGTCCTCATCTGATAAGCCTCCTGAACCTGCCCAGCCATCTACCTTAAAATCTCAGGGATCTTCCTCAGTAGCTCCAGGTCTGTCAGTTCCATCAGTCACCCATTCAGAACCAGCTCTGTGCCAGTCTTCATCCCCAATTGCATCGATTTCAAGGAGTACATCAGAACCACAGACGAAGAAGAGGCATTCTAAATCCAAACACAGAGAGAAAACCAAATCTGTGATTCGCCCCCATCGGCCCCCAAGTCAACTTCCAGGGATCTGAGGCTCCCCCTTACGTTCCACTGAGGACTCCTTCAATACATTCAGCCTCACCTATCTGTTCCATGTCGGAGGTGGATCTTCGATTGGATATTATGACAGCTTCAGATCCAAGACCAACTCAGATGGATCACTTGGGTTCTATTCTAAGTCTTTTCTTATTGACAAGAAGAATGGTGGTTCCCATCCTATTCTAGATCTTAGAAGGTTGAATAAGTATAACATGGTTACCCTGCAGTCTCTACTCGTTATTAAAGTATAATGTTTGGGTTGCAGTTATTGATCTCCAAGACGTGCTTTCATGTTGCAATCCATGAGGAGTACAGGAAGTATCTCCATTTCAAATCCAACAAAGTACACGTTTCCTATTGTGGTTTTCTTTTGCCTACAGTGATGTACCATTTTTTCCTTCTTGGATGATTGGCTGTTTGTAGCTGATTCGAATGAATTTTTAACTGACAACATCACCCTTGCTGTCAGAAAATGTAAATTGGAATACGTCTAAGTTTGAGCCTTCCCAAAGCATCCAGTTCATCAGAGCATCCCTACACTCCTTATCCGCTAAGGGTTACCTTCCAGCTGACAGCAGTGTGGTGATAAAGGCTGATTCCAAAGTGCACTAGTGATTCAGAAGTTACTGGGACTGATGGCAGCAACTGCTGCTGTCCTACCAGTGGCTAGGTTACAGCTCTGGTTTGTTTTTAAGTTTAAACCAGAAGTGCATTCCCTCCATCACCTGTTTTCTATACCCAGATGCGTTGTCAAAGCACTGTCCTGGTGGTCACAGGATGAAAACCTATTTTCAGGTTTCCCCTTTGGTATTAGACAACATGAGGTGGTCATAACCACTGATGCATCTTCACATGCATTGGAAGCATTGTGGGGACCTTCATGTACAAGGGAAGTGGCTTTCCCAGGAGAGAAAGTTGCACATAAATGTTCTTGAACTGTAGGCCATAAGATATACTCTTAACTCATTCTCAGATATGGTCTAAGGGAAGTCAGTTCTCATTCAAACAAGCAAATTTTTTTGCTATGTTCTATATGAACAGACAGGAAAGCACTGGCTCCAGATCGCTCAGTTCAGAAACTTCGAAGATGTGACATTGGGCCATGAATCAAAGCATCCACTTCTGTGCCATCCATATTGTGGGAGAACACAGTTCACTGGCTGATACTCTCAGCGGGGTTCATACATCCCATCACGGATGGGCACTCACAGAACAATACATTTGGCCCATTTTTGACCTTTGGGGTTATCCTACAGTGGATCTCTCTGCCACTCATCACAATACCAAGACCCAGTGTTTCTGTTCCATGGTCAGCAGTGACCCACTGTCCATGGGGGACGCCTTGGACATCTTCCAGTTTATCTGGAAGGTCACCCTTTTCTACTTGTTTCCCCCTTTCTCCCTCTTGACGAGGGTGGTGGCAAAGCTGCTAGGGGACGACTCAGAGGCCATTCTCATAGTGCCCTTTTGGCTTCAACAGGTGTGGTTTGCCCCTCTCCTCAAAAGGTCCAGAGGACTCTATGTACACCTCCTGTTCTGCTGAAGATCAGGTAGTTACTTCACCACAATATCCCTCACCTCTGCCTCACAGTGTGGAAACTGATGAGCAATTGACCCATCCCTTGCATATGCAAGAGGTTCTGCTTAATTCCTGTAAAGTGTCTACTAGATGGTCTTATGAAAGCAAATGGAAGCACTTTGAAACATGGACCTGTTCAGAAGGTCACTCTCTCATATTATGCCCACTATCTAAAATTCTATAAAAGAAGAAGAAGAGATTGGATTTATACCCCACCCTTCACTTGGAGTCTCAGAGCAGCTTACAAACTCCTTTCCCTTCTCCTCCCCACAACATACACCCTGTCAGGTAGGTGGAGCTGAGAGAGCTCTGAGAGAACTGTCCTTGAGAGAACAGCTCTGACAGAACTGTGACTGACCCAAGGTCACACCAGCAGCTGCATGTGGAGAAGTGGGGAATCAAACCTGGTTCTCCCAGATTAGAGTCTGTGCACTTAACTATTAAACCAAACTAGTATCTGTACACCAATCTCAGGGGCTAACATACTCCTCCATAAAGGTTCATTTGGAAGCCATATCTGCCTTCCTCTCTCATATCAAGGATCATGCTGTGTTCTCACATCATCTCTCTAAGCCATTTCTGAAGGGACTGATGAACATGTATCCGTATCTACACCAATCTCAGGGGCTAGCTTACTCCTCCATAAAGGTTCATTTGGCAGCCATATCAGCCTTCCTCTCTCTTATCAAGGTTCATGTTGTGTTCTCACATCATCTCTCTAAGCAGTTTCTGAAGGGACTGATGAACATGTATCCCCCATGTCCCATTTCAGCCCCTCTCTTTAGTGCTCTCGCAACTGATGTTGAAATCTTTTGAGCCTATAGCTACTTGCTCATTGAACCAGTTGTCTGTCAAGGTTTGCTTCTTAGTTGATGACCACTCGAAGATCACCAGTTACAGGTAAGCAACCTGTCTTTCTCATGTGGGCAAGGTGATCCACTTGTGAATGGCTGCTGTGGCGCAATGGTTGTACAATATCCAATGATGTCTGTATGCAGCCTGATCACTCCAACTTTGGTGTTTCTTCTGTAGCATTCTTCTGACCCTCCCCACAGCGGCTGACCCTCTGCATTAATTCTTCTCCCAAACTGGCAACAGAGCCAATAGACAGAATTAGCGTGATGCTCCAGGGAACCTGTCCTGTGCCCTTTTTACAATTGAAAATGCACTCAAAACTCCCTTTTTATTTTGTTTTTATTATGGGACACTGTTTGTCAAGGTACTGAGCAATTATAGCCCTGCCCCTTACTCTTTTCGCATCTCTTATAGTGTGCTCAGGCCTTCGGATTAAAAAGTAAAACAGCTTTCACTTTAGAGCCATGTAATTGATGACACTGGCCAACAAAAATAATAACTTTGGTTTCTTTGCAGCAACCCTGCCAAAAGTTTAAAACTGAAAGGAGCCTTAAGCTGCAGTCCTTTATTAGTGAACAAATCTCACTGAACTCAGTCAGATTTACTTTGAAGAAAACATATATAGGCTTGGATGCCACCTAAAATGTCAATGGATGGAAGGATTTCTGTCCACAGAAGCGGGGCTTCCCTGCCTCTCCATTCCTGTTACAGTTCCTTGAAATGTAGTTCCTGGGGGAGGGAGATCCAATGGGGAGTTGGAAGTCTACCACAAGAGGAGCGAATCAGCGAAGCTTGTCCCTGTGTGCCTACCTGGTTATTTTAGGCAAGAGGGGCTAGCCTGTTGACTCATGTTAGTATATCTGACTGGTTGTGCTAGGAATCAGAAGGCTGTAAGCCCTGCAGGTCCAGTTGAGATCATCAGTGGCCATCAAAGAGATTCGCCCCCTTACCCTTTAGGTTGCTTCTGTACTCTCACAGGACAAAATGCATAATTGTGGGACTTGTAGCAAAATAAATGATAATTAAAACTGTTAGTATTTTATTTATTTAGAAATTTTATGCCACTTCTCCATGAACCTGCCTGAGGCAGCTTATAATATAAAAATAACAAAAAACAAAACATTAAAAGACATTAATTAAAACCCATCATAAAAACGTAATCCAGCATAAAAACATAGACAATAAAAACAGACCATTGACAGCTTAAAATAAATTTCCAGACTGAAATAGTGTTTTTAAAAATTAACCACTTAATTAAGAGTGCGGGTGAACCACAATGTTTTGGCCTGGCTCCTAAATGACAAGGCATTCCATAATCAAGGTGCCACTGCTAAAAATGTCTGGTCTCTGGTTGCCACCCACGTCATCTCTGAAGGCAGGGGGGCACGGAGAACGGGGCTTGAGAGGCAGGTCTTAATTGGAAGGACAATAGCATTTGTATAAAATGTGTTAACTTTTGGTGTATCAAATCTTTCCAGCTGGAACAGTTTGAGAGTACTATTGGGTTCAAGCTGCCAAATCATCGGTCTGCGAAGAGGTTATGGAAGGTTTGTGTGGAACACCATACTTTTTATAGGTAAAAGTTTATTTTTCTAATTACTGTATATGAGTTCCCCATGTCTTTCCACTGCAGGGATTCAAGTAGCTTTAGGGGGAAGATTCTGGCCAGAGCTGTGTTAGACAGATTAAGCACTTTCTCAGCCCTACTGTTGCACTGATCAGATTTGTGTTCTCCTGTGCATTGCATTGTTTTAAAATGTTTTTAAAAATACCCCAAAGTCTACTCATGTGTCTTCCATGAATGCCTAGTTTGGCCTTAAAAAAAAAAATCTGCGTACTGAAACCACAGGACGGATTCTCAGGTCACAATCTAGTGTTAGAATCCAGGGTCCAGTAACGCGGTCCCGATGCAAGGTCAGAAGGAAGTCTAAGGTCTCAGTCTAGGGTTGAAGCATATGTTCCAAAGGCATAGTCGAAAAGCAGTCCAAGTGTCAAGTAACAAGGTTTCACGAATCAGTCTCAAGCAGGTCCAGCAACTGGTGGGGCTGTCCACAAGGCACACATTGATTCCACATTGGCTATAGCCTCACTGCAGGGTTATTTAGGGCATTTCTCTGCAGGTGAAGCTGGTCACACATCAAGCTCCTCTCCACCAGCTGAGTCAGTTCCTTTACTCATGAGCAGTACCGGGGAGGGCAGATCCTGCAATGACAGATTGGTTTCCCCTGGCGTTCCCTCAGAAGAAAGCATGTGTCAGCCATAATATATGCTCAGAATAAGGGTGTAGATGAATGACCAGGCCAGCAGTTAGCACTGTGCTGTAACTAGTAATGTTAATAAACCAGTACCCAGATGCATTTTGAATACCATACTCTGATTATGTTGTAGCCCATTTTATTGGTTCTAAAAACATTCTACATCCTGTCTACTTTAACATAGTGGGTACCTTTTTATATATAGAATATGGTGACTTTGTTCTTGTTGTGCTTCAAGACTGTTATCACCAGAACAGCCTCCGAAGGCCAAGTTCCTGACATTGGGTTCAAAGTTCCGCTACAGTGGACGTACTCAGGCACAGACACGCCAGGCCAGCAACCTCATAGACAGACCTGCTCCTTACTTTGAACGCACCTCAAGCAAACGTGTCTCCAGGAGTCTTGATGGTGGTAAGACAAAGCCAATTTCCTTGTCGTTTGCTACTTGAAATACTAACCTTCTAATACTTGAGTTAGGTAGGAATGCTAAATGAGTAGCAGCATCTCTCTCTTCGTTCTGGCTATTTTAATTGTATAAGTTCATTTTCATTTATATTCCTTTCTTACTGGGACTCAAGGCAGGTTACAAATACAGTAAACTTAGAGCTATTCAGTCAATCAATAAGCAAATTACAACATTTGAATGATAACGTTTAAATCTAACATCAAAGATTTCTAGTAAAATGAAGTGATTCAGTCAGTCAGCCAGCAGATTACAAAATATGGTAACATTTGCATCTAACAGCAAAGTTTCCTAGTAAAACAACATAATGTAGTGGGGCTGGGATTGAAGAAATGGTAGGAACAAACTCATTATCCCTAAGAATAGTTTGCTCCCAAGCTGATACATTGCCCCAAAGTTCTACAAGATTTACCTCCTGAACAACAATAGACATTTTAAAGCATTTTTTCCTAGGAAAAAAACATGTGGAAAGAATTGAATTTTTCCTCACAGTGGAAACCTTTCATTTGGAATACCAGAACATGATGTCTGAACTGGGCCTCTGTCTCCTGAAATTGCAGTTTGTCAGGGATAGCAAAATAAATCTTTTTTTTTTTTCCCAGCTCCAGTAGGTATCACAGACCAGAGCCCACTTAAGGACTTCTCTGCTGATAGAAGTTTTAAAGCTGCTGGACAGTCTAAATTAAAAGATGGAGAAGGTAGAGATGAGGATGGAGGCATAGCTAAAATGCCGCATTTCGAAGATGGAAAGGTATGTTGGTTGACACTAACTGTACATTTTTTTGGTGTAGTAAATAGTAGAATTTTAAAATATATTCGAGATTTATTCAAACTAGAGTGTCACATGAACTGTAGGAAAGCTGCATTATGGCTTTAATTTATATTTTGTGGTGGTTGCTTTATGCAGTAATTTGCCTATGTGTGGACTTGGAATGAACTAACAGAGAGAAACTGGGGGGAGAGGTATGTTGCACTGGTCTGTGCCTTTGCTACAGAGCATGTTACCTGAAAATGTATTTCCCTAGCGTGGAATCAGAACACTCTGGTTGAACAGAGCACTGGCTGAAGAGAGAGTGCATGAACCGTGCTGCTGATTTTACTCTAGGACAGTTTACTTGGTAATCTGTCCTGGTTACTCAGCTTTGCTTAGAAAGCCTTTGCATTTATAAAAGAGAGGATCAAATAAGCAATCCATGCTTAATTAATTACTATGTTTTATTCGCTTTATGCTACTAATACATTCTACTATGGATAATAATTCAAAGGAGCACAAAATTAGGTGTGACATGTTTATTAGTTTTCAGAGTTCACATACTTTAAACATAAGAATAAGGCATTCACATTGGTTTTCAGTTAGCGTAGTGATGGATTTATTTTTGCATTCTGTCACATAAAGCACATGCAATCACTTCTAATGAATATGCTTTTTTGTAAGTTGTTGATAAGCATTTTAAGCTGTTTATATTTTAAGCTGATTTGAGCAATGAGTAAGTTATATAAGAATAACGTTTAAGTAAATTAAAGTTGTAGCCTGTTAAATAATCTACTGCTCTGAATTAAGTCATCTATATATTGAACACTCGTATTTTTTCCATTTGATATTGCTTGCTATTTGAGCATTAGAAAATGTCTAATTAACCTGAGAATCTGACTTTTTTCCTGCTATTTTTGTACATAGTTGCCTTTGGGTTGGGGTGGGGTCTTAATACCCAAGGAGAAATGAGAGAAATAAGTTTTGAAAGCTATAACCAGATTGTTTGACCTCATGTGCTACTGTCTCTCCTGCCCACCTTCTGAAAAAGCTTTGAAGTCTGTCTGTTTCCCTCTGTTGTGATTGCACTAGTACACTCCCAAACTAAAGAGCACTTTGCCAAATGTTCGGATTTTATGTTGGCTGATTCTGAAAACACTTGAGGCCTTTGAATGTTTGGGGCATCCGTACCGCAATAGTAATGCTATACCTGCTTTTGAGTAACTGTGCTCACTAAGTTTCTCCTCCCTTCCCTTTCTTGTGTATTCCTTCTGCCCACAAACATACATATCATGGTCTCATCTGCATCTATGGTTGGACTGTTTTCTCTTCCTCCAACCTGAATATATGCATCCACAGTCACCTTCCACTTACTCTGTTTCATCTTGTCTTTCAAACCTACCCACTATACATGAGATGGCAATGCTTTCCGACATTTCCAGGAATGGCTATCTTGGTAGACCTGTGCATTCTCCCTCAGACAGCATGAACTGCAGTCCCATGAAAGAAATCCTAATCTATGGCAGAAACAAAGGAAAGGCCCATACTACCTTGAAACCCATTAATCTCTTGGTGACTGGCCATCTTCTTCCTCTTGCGATAGAGACAGGAATTCCCAAAAGCAGTGGATACAAAGAACCAGTTCCTGTGTCTAGCTTTCCATTTAGTTTGAGCAAAGGATTTTCTTTTAATTTCCCTTCACTGCTTGATAAGGATGGTTACATTAGTTTTCCTAGCCTTCCTGAAATTTGCATCTCATTCTTCCCACCTGGTCTTCAGCATTATGTTCCTATTACTTCTCCCTCATTCATCCCTTCATATCTAGTCATCTTTTTACTGCTTCTATCTACTTTCCAGTCTATTCCTTTCTCACTCATATTGTCCCTTCCTGTTGCTCTGTCTCTTTGCTACCTGGAACCTAAGTCAACTGCACTGAATGCCTCTAATGAAACTAAAGACAAAGCTGAGGAACAGGAGGTGTGTAATTTTGTTGCCTAAATGCTATTTGCATGTCAGTTTGCTTTTCAGTACTAAGTGTATTCAGTCTTGCAGACTTCTAGCTCAAGGCCATTGATTCCCTGTTTTTTAAATTGCATTTGATGCCCATTTTTGCATAAATACCATGCTTTTGAAAAGAATATATCTACTAGATACTGTACTCAAAGAAATTATAGAACCTATGAATGCAATGTTGGGGCTATGTGGGTTCTACCCATTGTTTCCTGTATTGTATAGGACCACTGGAAATTGTTCAGATGAAGCCATATAAAGAGCTCTATACTGAACCATAAACGCTGGCAATGTGGCAGTTTGTTAAAAGGCTGCAATAATCTCTCACATTATTGGCTGTAGCCTCTGCATGTAGGTGGTGTTTCTTACCAGCATTTCTCTTTGTGAGCCTACTGGTACCTCCTTGTACTCTTGAAGGTAATCAACATGGGCTTCCAGATATATCAGCCTTTCTTTAGACCCAGTACTTAACATAGCATTCCTGTGTCTCAATTATTGATCTGGTCCTAATACAAAAACAATATAACATTGACATAACCATTCAAAATGCCAGTCTTACTCTCTGTTCAGAATATGAGTTTGGGGGGGGGGGTTGTTTGCGAATGAGGATAATTGTGATTTTTTCTAAGCTTTCCAAGAGGTCATGGAAATTTGGTCAATCCCCTTTCATGTAGACATGTGCAAAACTTGAGTTTATGTAGCACGTCCTCAACTGTTGCCTAAAGTAGAAAGTTTTAAAGAATAAGCAAATTTATCTGAGTGTGAGCAATTTCTGGATTTTGAAGACAATTAAATTAGTGTTATTTTATTAAACTTTTTTGATGATAATGATGTTGCTGTAAATGCTGGATGGTAACACTGTTCTCCATACGGCAAGCCCAATATGGTGTAAAAGACTTTGCCATGAACTTAAGTCAGAATTTAAAGCTGAAAAGCCTCTTACGTGTGGAAACTGTGTTATCATACAGCTCTTGTTCATAATATGAGACTTATATGTCTATCTTTGACAAAACTTGCTGACCATTGGCTGGTGCCATTACGTAGATGGAGACAGAAGAGGAAGACATTCAGAAGAAGGTTGATGATATTATCGATTCATTGTGGTTGTTGCCTGCCTGCCATCATCAGTGTGTGAAGCTTCTGTAGCTTGCTTGCATAGTGGTCAGCCCTATTTATTTTGAAAGCATTACTTATTAGTTTTAAACCCTCCTTGGTTGGTTGCTGATCATGGTCTTTTTGTTTTGTTTGTTTTTTTGTCTTTTATGTGTGTGCTGAATTTCACAGATGTATCCCTTGAAAGTAGATGGGGAAAATATTTATATCAGACATAGCAATTTAATGTTGGAGGTTTGTATGATATAAGGGGTACTTTCTTGTCTCATGGGCTGCCAGGCTGCATGAGATTGGGAGGTCACTTCACTTGCAGGCTGTTCTAGGCACGGTGCATGAAATGCATGGGGAATGTTAATCTTGAACATGCATGTTGAAGATCTTAGTCACTCTATAAATAAATAGTTTTTAAGTATGCAGCTGTGAGAACATTTTGCAGGGGTTATAGCCCTGTTTAGGTGTTACCATGTCCATCAGTTTGGGTATTTACTGTTATGATTTTGTGAATATGCTATCAAGAAAATATATTTGACACATGGTGCACCCAGTGTCTCCTTTACATTTCTGACATGTTTCTGGAAATGTGATACAGTGAAGTTCTGGGTTCCCTTCCTGAAAATATTTTGGTCAATACTTGTAAAAAAAATATTTTGCCTTCCTAAGGAACTAAATCCAGTCCAGGAATGAAATAATTATGTTTCCATGTGGCTACTACTTTTTTGTCAGTCCACAGGATACCAAGAGGTGTAGTTTGAGAAGTGATTTTGTTGAAAAATCAAGCTTTTTTAACAATGTGTAACCCAAGATTCTCTAGCCAACTCAGTAAATATAATTTAACCATTTCAACATAACTATGAGAAAACTAACTTGTTACCCAAGATATAAGCTTTGTCATCCAAATTGGGCTATTCCCGTTGTCAGATGAGACTGTTCCATAATTACTTGTATATATGTAACAACATGAAGATCCACAGATTTTCAGTAACTTTACTAATATTTCTGTCGCTTTTTGGCAGCTTCTGATAACCCAGTATTTAATTTGTTTAACTTCATAAAAATGCTGTAAACTGTATTGCATAATTCTGCTTTGGACAAATCCAAGAAATGTGCCTGGTGTCAACTCAAAGCTATTTATGAAAATACCATATGGATTCAAGCAGTGATAAATGTCTCCCAATTGGTTAAATTTTCGTCATAGACTTCGAGTAAAATCACAATTGCCCTTTAAAGTTTTTGCATTTACATTTGTGTGCAGAAATATATGACTAAAGGCCTTTAGACAAAGTTCTGTTTGATAAATAGCTGTGCACACAACATACCATCCCACTGTTTCTCTCCTCTTCCCCCCACTATCTGTCTTTCAGCCAGAAGGCTTATCCACAGCATAATACTATAGAAGATGAACCCCGAAAGCTGGGTCTCAACATGAATAAATTAGCTTAGAAATTTAATATAATTGTGGCCTATAGTCTCAGGATAGCTTCTGACTTCATTACACAGGTACACACATATGGTGTTAGGAATAGCATGTATCTTATTTCAAATGTTTGCTTAGTTAATGTGTATTTAGATTAAGAGCTAATTGCTGGGATGCAAAGAGTTACTGTATGGTATTTAGAAGTAACTTCAGACTTCATCCTGTTCTGCACAGAGTGCTGTAGCTCAGGACTTCGTATATGCATGCCTAAATACTCCTATTGTCTCTATTTTAATAAAATGAATTCTTTTTTAAAAAAATACAGCATTTACTGTTCCCGAGAAGCTGTAAATACATAGCAACTGTACCATAGAATCATTCTTTCTATTAAGATTATTGATATTCAGGGACACAACAGATGTGGCTCTTCCTGCTGAATATCCCATAAAGCACCACTCTTCCCACAGTGTTGAAATCTGCCATGCACTTCCAAAGGAAAGTAAAATGGTCCAGTAATCAAGAGCATTGCTGGAGTAAAAAGCAAAGCCTTGCCTGTCCCCCTGGCACAAGGCGACATGGCCTTCATGAAAAGATAACCTAAACTCTGTGTGCCCTTCCTCGCATAATAATGATGATGGATGTTTTGCTAATAGAGTTGCAAAAATTAGAAAGCACTCTGATTTGCTGACTTAGCAAGGACTATGAACAGGTGGCATAGGAATAGCCTAAATAAAATAAAAATAACTTGAATCTCTACCCCCTGTATACAGCATCACTTAATTGCAGAAGGCTGCAGTGGTGCTTGTGCCATTCTTCTACAGCTCCACTAAAAGCTGCAGCTCAGGATCAGTCAAAGATCTGTTCAGTTGCTTCATCTTACAGGAAGTTACATGCAGAAAGTAGAAGAGCTGTGTATGTAAATGTAAAATGTGGCACAGCACCTTCTTGTGGTTGTTGAAAGCACCATTCTGTTCCTCATACATTTTATTATAGGTATAAGAAATTTGCTTTAGTCCTTGCCATGTACCGTAATGTTTGTAATGTTGTAATGTTGTAAAAGATCTTAAAATAGATGTGTGTATGTGTAATTTCCATGCTGATAAATTATGAGGACAACGGATGCTTATTTTATTTCATCTTGTAGGTAAGAGTCCATTCTTATCTCAAATCATCCTGTCATTTAGGACAAAAGCAGCTATTTCCTCTCTTGAGAAACAAGTTTCACTCCAAACAGTAACCTGAAATTGACTCTGGAAATGCCAGGCACCTTTCATGGCTTTTAATAGAGAAAAATGTTGGTTTGTGTTTGTCATGTTTTGTACTACTCTTTTTACGTTACATATTGCTAGGACCTGGATAAGAGCCAGGATGAATTACTGAAGCATCAGGCTAGCATTAGTGAACTCAAGCGCAATTTTATGGAAGCCACACCTGAGCCACGCCCCAATGAATGGGAAAAGCGTCGTATCACACCTCTGTCTCTACAGACACAAGGGGTATGTCACTGGAAGCCCTTGTTAGCATGCATAGCTAGTAATGTTGAGAAAAAGATTGTGTTGTAGAAGTATGTGTTGTATTCCAGTATAATTAATAAGGATCTTAGATCTTGCTTTGCTGCTAATATGAATCTTGTGCTTAATACTCATTAATATTGTGAGTGGCTTTCTCTTTACCAATACTGTGCTTCAAAGTAACTTTACTTTTTAGAGTAAGAAAGCAACATTGAAGGAAGCTAAGGTGATACCATTGTAGAGGCTTAGATTCTAGGTAAGGAATAGAAGTTTAAGTAATTTCATTTTCTCACAGTTTACAGTAAATGGGTGTTCAACTATTCACAGATGATGTGTAGAAATCCTGAATGAAACATGCATTGCTGCATTCTCCACAGTATTTTCCTATTGCTGATTTTCATATATTTGTCAGGGCTCTTTTTGTAGAAAAAGCCCAGCAGGAACTCATCAGCATAATAGGCCACACCCAACAGCAGAAACTCATTAGCCTATTAGGCCACACCCAACAGCAGAAACTCATTAGCCTATTAGGCCACACCCCTGACAGCACAGCTCATTAGCATATTAGGCCATACCCCCATGCTACCAGAAGTGTGGTCATCCAGCCACACCCACCTTTTGCTTCTTATTCTGTTTACCTTTTTTGTTGTCAAAACCCAGGGCTTTTTTTGTAGCAGGAACTCCTTTGCATGTTAAGCCACACACCCCTAATGTAGCCAATCCTAATGAGTTTCTGCTGTTTGGTGTGGTCTATTATGCTAATGAGTTCCTGCCGGGCGTGGCCAACTCGGGGGCCAGCCGGAACTCCGTTCCTGTGCGTTCCTGCCCAAAAATAGCCCTGTTTGTAATAATGCCATGACTAGACTATAATATCACAGATATTCAGCTACCTCTTCTGGTGTTACTGGGACTTGTTTTAAGTATTAGCATATTTTGAAATGTTAACAAGCTATTTAGTGATATGTGTATAGACACATATTATATATAGTTATAGCTCGCATAAAGGATGGCCAATACGGACTTGGCTCTTTAGAACTTTTAAATACATCCCATTGAATTACATTCAGTACTGAATGTGTGCTTATCATCATGCATACTCCAATACAATAACCACATAGTGGTGCTTCACCTGTTGTCATGTACAAGTTATTTTGTATACTTATGTGTTCAAAAAGTGTATGAAATGTCCCTGAATATACCAGTAAAGCAAGTATTTTACTGAGCAGCTGTTTCTCATTATACAGAAATCACTGGATGATACAGTAATCTTATAACATTTTGTATGTGTGGTAGTGATGTGGACTTCCGATACAACAGTACACATACATTCACACCAATTTCACAGAAGGGTTGGATATTCTGCTCTGAGTTGTATTTTGCTTTCATTTTTCTTACTAATCTGTTTGCCTCATTTGTTCCCTTACTAATTTCTTTTGGTTTGATAAAAATTACAAAATGCAACTTTAAAAAAGGATATATAAAAGGAAACCTGGAATGACAGTGGGCTTCAGGGATCATGGGTCACCAGTGGAACACAAGTGAAAGGAGGCTACCTGAAGTCTTCCTCTTTTGGTTATGTGCTTATTGTGAAGGTTTTGGCTCCATGTCTGTTACATTTGCTTTGATAAACATTGCCAAACTTCTGTTTTTAACCTTATCTCTTACAGTACTTATGTCACACTCAGACTCTTTGACAGATGACAGAATAACTGATACTCAAGTTAAAACTTTACATTGCCTTGAATGAGTACAGACATCTGTTGAAACCATTTTCTGTAATGTTGAAAAACCAGGATCTTTCTAATAGTTCAGCTGCAGAGGATATCCAACTGCTGATGCTTCAGCTCTTTTCATCTGATGTGGAGATGTTAAACTCAAAAGGGTACTGTACATAAAATGTCAGCAGTGTTATCGAATCAGATGTGACAATTGGAGGTTTACTCAGGGTAGTGGCTACTTGTCTGCTTGGTCCCCCCCCCCCCCCAAAAAAAATTTTTTTTAGAGCCCTAAGACAGAGCCCTAAGGTTTGCTTTAAGTCTTCTCAGTTCAAGGTTATCCAACGTTTATTTGGATGTGTTCAAATCCCATTAGACAGCCCAGTATAAAATCTAGTGCCTTCAGCTCTTTCTTCTGTGCAGAAGCTGTGAGGTCAAACATCCTTTTCGAAGAGACATGGTTCTCAACAGCCAATTGCCAGAGTTCTCTTAATTTTATAGTAAGAGAGAATCTTCTGTTACCCGTGTGATGGAAGAAATGCTGCTATGAATAATAGCTATGCTGTGTAGAGGTTATTCCAAGACATAATTAGCTTTGAAACTTTAATATTGTATCTAAGCTAGCTTTTATCCTTCTAGTCCTTTTTGATATATCAGACAGCACTGCTAGCTTCAGGTCCCTATGCTACTGGAAATTTATTGTAGTTAACATTGTAATGATTTTTTTATACTGGTGAGTATAAGATAGAGATTTGAAGGCCTGAGGGGCGGGAAATGGAAAAATTCAGGAGGGAAAGTCCCCCTCCCCCAATTTTTCCAATGGAAAAATGAGAAATTTTGAAGAGTACTGGAAAAAACTCCTATGAAATATTTGCTCTTTTAAAAGGAGTGAAGTGTTTTTACAGGTAGGGTGGGCATAGTGTAGACATACAGAGCTCTTAAATCCAAATCCAGGATGCATTTCTACACTTAGAAAAATACCTGACCTTCATTAGGGGAGCATGCAGGGCTTTCATTGCCTTCTGTTATCCTTTTGACCTGACCCTTGCCTTTCCTTGTGATACATACACCCACAGGTTAAGTAACAAATAGTTTATTGCCCTAAGGTAGCATGGGGTTGTAGTTTTCTCTCAAGAATTGGGTAATTTGCAATTTTACTTGTAGAAAACTAAGGCATTTATCACTTTTATATTTCATAAATATGCCCAGTGTTACAATTTTATATGCTAAGTACTCTGTCTTCCTGTGGATGCCAGTCACAGCTGCTGGCGAAACGTCAGGTCCCACAATGCCAAGACCACGGCCATACAGCCCGGAAAATCTACAACAACTAATGCTACACTTTATGTTGTTAAAGCAGTAAAATGAGTTTAGGTTTGACCACAGGGAACAGCTTTGTTTGGGGGGTGGATTTAAAAGTATGGGAAAAATTGAAATATGCACAATGCTTGCTTACTGTTTCAACAACATATAATGTATCATTCTTAACTTAGCATTTAAAATTGAACTATATGGTTTATATATGAAATTTAAAAGTATAAATGCCTTGGTTTTCTACAAGCAAAGTCGTTTATATAACCAATGTTAAAGAAAGACAAACAGAGAGAGATGCAAACTGCTGCACCCCATGCTATCTTACCGTATATATCTTAATTTTTTGCTATCTGAGTGGCAGGAAAAAGTAAAAGTTGAAAATAACAAACACATATTTTGTAGTAAATAAGAAAAGTGTTTGGACAGACTATTCCGTACCGTCATAGTGGGGCTAGCAGCATATTTGGTTATCAGGTTAAGCTTCGCAACATTAAGAACACTGAACTACTCAGTAGTGTATATTATAACATATTAATTGTGGATTAGACTAGTCACATTTTAAACAACTATATGCTGAAAAATATATATTTGAGTGATACACATATGGATTGTTCTTCAATGCTGTATATAGACTTACACAAAAATATCTCATCAATGTCTTTCTCAGTGCTTCCCAAAACCTCCAGTTTTTGTCACAAAATAAGAGAAGTTGGGGATACACACACACAAACTGGATCTTTTCATTTCTAGTAGGGATCAGTGTTCCCTCTAAGTTATGGAGTTTTGTGAGCAAAAATTCTATTTTGTGACCTACTGGCATTAAAGTTGTGAGCGAGCGATTTGGCTACTGCATAAATTAATTTGCTCTGGACTTCCTTCCTGAGCTAAGACAAAATTTGTGAGCCGAAGGCTAAAATACTGTGAGCTAGCTCACACTAACTCAGCTTAGAGGGAACACTGGTAGGGACTGTCCTTATTCCAGAGGGCAGTTCATTTCACATGCAGTGCTGCTACCTCTTGAGCATTCTTTGTGACGGAAATCCTAGAGAACATATGGTGGCTCAATGTTTGGTGCTTAGCAGGAACATCATTTGGCAGGAGGTTCCCTCAGGGATAATCATATGTTTGGCAGTTTGATTCTAAGGATGCATCCTACATAGGGTTAGAGTAAGACAATAAGAATGACCTATACATTTCTTTGCCAGGATTTACAGAGCAAGGAACAGTGCTTTGGTACTAGCAGGCATAAAAATATTCTAGGGAAGGGTCCTGTTGAAAGCCAGGGCACAACTGAGTTTGATGGAATTCCTTGGAACATATTATCTTGCTGTATTTGTTAACTTGCTAAATAGAAACTTTATTCTCTTTATTCAACATAGCTCTTTGGAGTTACTACTAGGTAAAATTGGGTATATCTGTATCTGCAGTAGATAAAAGATTCAGGTTCTCTACCATTTTGTTTTATTACTTATTATTTACATTATTTGTAGTCTGCTTTTCTTGCTGGAACTCACGGCAGGTTATACAGAATAAGTCAGAGTCTACAGGATAGGGTGTCCAATAGACAGTGTAATTAGATTTGGCTTGTAGAAATCTGGAACCAACCAGAGGTCAGAAATAGTGGTGAAGCAATGCTTAAGTATTAACAAGACACTTGGGTGGGACCTCTTGTGTGTGTAAAGTGCTGTCAAGTTGCAGCCAAGTTATGGGGATTCCAGAAAAGGGCATCTTCTTCGTGGTCTCTGTGCATCACATCCTTGGGATACACAGCGCCTGCGCTGACCTTCTGTGGTATCGTTAGCAAGCAAAAGGGATTTTCGCGCCCACTCCCCCATCACGCGCCGTGCTCCACTGCGCATGACCAGGGAGGGGCACGCAGATTCCGACAGTTCTTTTCTGACCGCCGCACTGGTAGGATGCCTTGCTTCGGTCAGTAAAGTATTTGGCTTTGGCCTA